GTATGTATGTGTGTGTGTGTGTGTAGAGAGAGAGAGAGAGGGGGGGGGGAGACGAGGAATTGGGCTTACCTCCATGGTTGTTCGGTGATAGTGCAGCGGCGGTGCGGAGTGCACGGTGGACGAGGAGGCTGCTGGGCGCTGGGTGCTGGTGCTGGCGGCGATGGCGGTTGGCGGGAGCCCAACGAGCCTCTCGCGCGCACTTGTTGTCGACGACACGGCGAGCCCTGGGGCGCGGCAGCGGGAATCTGAGAATCGGGCTTTTCACGCAAACCACCCAAAGCGGCCGGGTGCAGCAGCAGACGTGGTCGGCAACGCCGTCTGTTGGTGGCTCCAAGCCGAGGGCGCCGGGCCGGCAGGGATGCAGATGCTTCGAGTGCTCAGCGCGCGCCGGGGCAGAGAGTGCTGATAACAGGCCGTGTGGTGGCGTGACTCGAGGGCCCGACGAAGAAGTCGCAGACACGGACAGACAGTGTCGACGCCGGCGACGGTTGCGGCGCGCGTACTTAGTCGCATCTTGGCCCGGAGCAGCAACATCTTCAGGCACCGCCGCCCGCTGCCTCTCGTCTCCTCCCACCGCGCACCCCACACCCCGCGACCACGACCGCGACATCTGACGGCACCCTCACCCTCGCCTCACCCTCGCCTCACCCTCGCCTCACCCTCACCTCACCCTCACCGGTCGGCCCGGCACTCGTCGTGCTCTCGCCCACCGCCAACGTCACACAGTGTGCCCGAGACATTCACCAAGCAGCGTGCCACCAGTTTCACATGTGCCTGGCGACATGGCTTCAGCCCTGTGTAGCCCAGCCAGCCCAAGCTGAGAGGGCCAGGAAAAGCAAGAAAGAGCAACATACACACACACACACACACACACATCTTGGTAACCCCCGTTCCAACTGCGCCTAACATACACATGCTACCCATGTCCGTGTCTGCGTCTGAGTCATATTGCATTGCCAGGATCCACAAGGCAAAATAAAGCCCGTTCCAGCGCTCCGGTTCCAAATCCCGGGGTATCAAAACCACAAAGCCCAATCTACCCATGGCTCCAGCCTCCATGGGCCCAATGCCCATACTTACTCCCCCATCCAGCATCCCCCAAATAGATTCCAGTTCAATCAAACGCCACATACATGACATCATTGCTCCTCGTCACCCGTCCAATCACCCGCCCCTTCTGACCTCTTCAATCCCATGGTCCCGCCACTTCCGCACCCAGAGTGCCAGAAGCCAACTGTCCCAATCCCCCCACGAAAGCAAGGAACATGGCCAGCGCAGTCGCCTCGCCGGCAGATACCAAGTCGCTCTCGGGTGCTGAACCATCCGCTTCCATAGCCTGCACGGCTCGCCGCGTCTCTTCCGTCGCCTGATACGTAGCGTCAGGCTCACCGGAAAACGAGCCTGCATCAGAGTCAGGACTGTGCGCCTTTCCTCTTGTGCTCCGCCTGAGAGGTTCAGCCGAAGAAGCTGCCTGTGCCGAGCTAGACGATCCATTGGCCTTCTTGGAAGGTCGCCCGCGCTTCCTCGGTGTCGTCGTCTCGAGCAGTGGACTTGGTTCCTCAACCTTTTCCATAACCTTGGCCAACTCCTCTTTGAACGTAACATGCTTCTCGTGACTCGGTACCAGGAAAGAGAGCACACTACTCTCCAGCATCGAATGAACATCGAGGTCTCGAGTAAAGGTCCAAGTAAACAAGCCAACGGCTGTGAAGAGCACATCGAGACTCGTCACACTGATGGCGGGATGCGTGCTGATGTGTTTGAGCTTTTGACCCGCATTGCTGATACTTGCCAGAAGTTTGTTCACCTGAGGCGCGTCACTTCTTCCAAACGAATTGGCGACCAGGTCCCACACATGAGACCGCTGCGAGGGCCTGTTTACATAGAGCAGAGTCATCCAGACCCGCCAGTACACCAGGATAGAAGCCAGCGACAGGGCGTAGAAGACCTTGGCATAAGAGCGATGGGCAGCCGCCTTGGATTTGTGTTGGTGGCCCAGCGCGTAGGGAACAAGCTAAGCCTTGTCAGAAGAGACTGCTGAATCGTGTGGGTGCTGCGTACCTGTGGAGCAAAGGCAAAGGCCAGAGGCATGGCGAGATAGCCCACTCGCATCATGCTCTTGTCGCCAAATTCAGAAACCAATTGCGGAAACAAGTTGAGCGTGACGAGCGACGCGACGATACCCGCGTCATAGACAAAGGCGTACGGCGTGAAGAGTGTGTCGTGCAGTGGCGTGTCTCCGTTCTGCAACGTTAAAGGCGTATACAATATGGTGATGAAGAACAGGCTCAAGGAATACCCCAGGCTGCCAATGGAGCTCAGGAGCACAAAGGACGCGATAGTGGTGTTGGAGAGATTGCGTCTGCGTCCTGCAAAGCGACCAGTTAGCGTCACATCCTGACTGCAAACACATACATCCACTCATCAATGGGTTTTACGTACCCTCAGCACCCATAAAAATAGAGCTTGCTATCAGTCCGACAAAGTACTGGCTGGTGTAGAGGAACCCCTCCGGCTTCATGATGCCTACAGCATCGAATTCGCGCACAAGATCTATGTCTGCGATCCAGTCGCCCAGGTGCCATTGCTCCTCTTCACCGGTGCCATACCAGCCGCTCCATAGACTACCTGGGATTTCCTGATTGTTGTGCTGGGCCCAGCGCACATACGAGATGGCTCGCCAAAGGAAGGCAAAGGTCCCCACTGACAGCAGCGACACGAGCGCAATGACGGAGAAGGCAAAGGCATTACGTCGGCGAGCGGGGTCTTGGGAGCGCGTATGCGTCGATGGCGGTTGCGCTCTGGCGGCGCGTCGAGTAGTGAATAGTACGCGAGCTGTGAGGACTGTAACCAGCAAGACCTGCCCGCCAAAGAGGGCAATGGGTAGCGAGTTGCTGCGTGTGGAAGCGTCAGTTTCGACTGGCGCCATGGTTGCTGTCTTCAAATTTTGCAATGTCTCGACCTAAATTCGAATGCGCATTATGCGAAAGCAATGAAAGCAATGAAAGCAGCGTTGAGAGACAAGAAGCAGGTCAGGCCAGCCTGGGACCAACACGTCTTGTTTTGACCTGGAACGCGACCGGACTCCCCGCTCACGTCACTGCACGTCAATCTGGAGTCCACATCCCTGTCCTGCGCTAGTCCCGGCCCGGCGTTAGCGGGCGATCTGGCGCAGTCCGTCGTCTTTCCTTTTGGCATATGCGCGCGACGCGAAGTCCAACTCCCAAGCCTCCAACCCGATTCCCCAACCACCATGCCCCACACATACGGCGACGAGGACCTTGAAACCTTTGAAGAAAAGTACCACGAGTCGTCTGACGACGACTTTGACCCCAATGCCGCCCCGCCAGAAGACGCATCCAGCTCGGAAGACGAAGACCATGTCACCATAGAGCCCGCACAGCGCAAGGGCAAGCGCAAAGCGCCAGCGGACGAAGAGCTCGACTCTGGAGATGAGGTCACCATACAAGCTGCGCGGAGGAAGCGGTCAAGGAAGAAGGGGAAGAAGGGCAGCAAAAACGACGACGACGCCGAATTGATCATATCGGACGATGAGGGCGGGGACGGCGGGCTGATCAAGACACGGGCGCAACGAAGAACAGAGGGCAAAGAGGCAAGACCGCTTGCAAGGACTGAGGGCGCAACCGTCGATGTGGATGCGCTATGGGCGCAGATGACAGCCGCGCCTCTGAAGCCGCTTCAGACACTCAAGCCACAAGAAGTAGATGCACCAAAGCACCACACGCCCGTCGCCGACATCCCCGCATCCGTCGAGGAAGAAGAGCAGCTCACCATCAAGAAAGTCTTCACCTTCGCCGGCCAGGACACCACCGAGGAGAAGCAAATACCCCGCTCTCAACTCGACGCCTATCTCAAAGACGGCTGGAAACCACAGGACGCGCCTACAGCAGCAGCAGCAGCAGCGTCCCCAGCCCATTCCTCAGACAAAACAGAAACCAAGATCCGGCGCCCGCTCCGGCGCCCCTCCCGCTTCGATCCAAATCCCACGGGCTACGTACGTGCCCTAGCCCCAGAATTCCAGCTCTCGTGGCCCCGCACAGCAGCCGCAACCGCACACCCCGAGACAGAACACGGTGCGGAAGCAGAAGCTACAACAGCAGCAGCCGCCGTGCCACCACCCACAAAGAAAGCAGAAAAAACTCAGAAACTCAACGTCGTCGACAAGTCGCGCATGGACTGGACAGGCTTCGTCGACAAGGAAGGCATCGCAGACGAACTCGATACCCACGGCAAAACTAAAGAAGCGTATCTCGGTCGCATGCAGTTTTTGGCTGGCGTCGAGGCTCGCAGGGAGGAGGAGAGGCGGAATGCAAAAATCAAAGCTGCTGCTGCTGCTACTGTTGCATCTACCGTGCCCATGGCTGGCTGATAGACATACATGGTTGTTCTTTGTGGCTGGGAGAGAATGTTCGTGTGTAGCATGTAGCATGTAGTATGTATATATGTGTAACCCCTTTATCTTTACTGTAATGATACCCACAATTTTTCTTTTTTTTTCTTCCCCTAGCATTCTGATATCTTGTAAAATTAGGGAGTGTGAATTGTGAATTGTGAATTAAGCAAAAAAAAAGGCTAGTGTCATACCTATGTAAAACCAGGTGCCCCAAAGGAGAAGAAAAAAAGAAACAAGGAATGAAAGAAAAAAGAGAAAAAAAAGAGTGGAATTTACATAACTAACACTAAGTACTCCATGCAACGCAGCTACACCATGGCAAAGATATGTAGTTACGACGAGGACTCTGCTTTGCTTGGCTTTTTACAAAGTTCAATGCGAAGATTTGGTGGGATATACATGAGCGTTGAATTTTTTTTTTAGGTGGGGGGGGGGTTGGTTGGTTGGTTGGTTGGTTGGTTGTGTGGCTTTACTTTGTCTGTGAACAGGTGAATAAAATAAGGAACCCAAGAAAGAGAAAGAGAAAGAGTTAGAAAAAAAAGAAGAAAGAAAAACGAGATTCCTACGTCTATCCAAACACTGTATTTGCGTACAATTCTTTCGCGTCCCTTTTCTTTCTCCTCCTTCTTTGTCTTTTTCTTCATCCTCTGTGTCTCTGTCTTTGTGTCTGTGTCCGTCTCCGTCTCCGTCTTCCAGTTCTTCGTCGTCGTCTTCCAGTTCTCCATCCCCCTTCTTCGTCCTTCTATAAGCTTACCACCACAACCCAAAACAGACTGCAGTGACAACGGGAGTGACGATGATTCTTGAATGGCAAAGAAGCGGGTGAGGCGTTGCACGCATACTTAACCACTGGAAAAGCGCGAAAAACAATAAACACTCGTGCCCAATACTCCGACGAACCCCCCCCGGAACCAACATCATCCCAAGACCGGGTCTTCAAGCGCAGAATGAAAGTCGTCGTCGTCGTAGCCATCGTCGTCGTAGACATCATCAGCGTCAGCGCCATCAGCTGCATACTGCACAAGGCCCTTGACAGGTTTCGGTTTCAAGTTCGCGCGGATAGACAGGACGATATATCTTGTGCCAGGACAGCTGCTCGCTTTGATCCTGCATAGATCCTCGCCTGCAACGGAGAAGATGAAGCTGGGTTTGCCGAGGGGCAGCTGGTACATTTCGTACAAGGCGGACGCTTTGATCGAGTCCCAGCCACAGGGCTGCCAGGGGAAGCAGCGTTCCAGATACGGTTCCATGCGAGGATGGTCTGGGTTTTCGGGCGCGATGGCGAGGAATTTGCGGCGGCATTCGTCGATGAAGGCGTAGGAACCCGAGCTCGTGTTGTTTTTCTGGTGCCATCCCCTGTTCCAGATTGCGCGGATTGGATCGAATTTCGCGCGGAGAGCGGCGTACTCCTGTTTGAATATGTCATGTGGCTTTTCTTTGAAGTAATTGACTGGCGTTACTAATGCTTCGTCGAGCTCGTCGACTGGGGGTAGGATTTTCATGACTTGGTCCATTGTCTTGAAGTTTTGAAACCTTACTACGGTAAAGTATAGATAGTCTAGGATGTTGTTGAGATTGGGGCGGTAGTCCTTTTTTCGACGCGTCTCCATGTCTGAGGGACCCTTTGCGTTTGTGCAATCCTCAATCGCCCTTTTGTAGGCAGGTTGTTTGGGGTTTTTGCATTTTTGGCGCACGAAACGATTGTAGTTCTCGAGCGTGAGGATGTATCCTTGCTTGGACGCATCGACGAGCAGGTCGTGCATGTTGTAGAGCCAGCTGAGCACTGGAGACCAGATGCGGTTTTCTTTGTAGGCCTGTTTTTCTGCAAGGATGATGACTTGGCCGAGAAATGAAGGGTAGTCGCGGAACGCGAAAGCTTCTCTGAGAAAGATATCCACGTTTTCTGGATCCTGCTTGTCAATGATTTCCATCATCTTTTTTGCCATGGTGGAGATCCCATGCACTAAGGGGTCTGGAGACTCGATTGGCGCAGGAGCATTGGAGAACGGCTGTACAAGTGTGGGCTCCCAGCATATCCAGAATATATCACCGTCGTAGTCGCCTCCCTGCAATTTACCAGCCAACGGATAGCGGCCTATCGACGGAAAGACAGCTACATCTACCAAATGTGATAGTGCGGGATGAACAATCTTGCGTACCTTCTGTATATCAGAAGGGCGACAAGCAGGCTGGCGAGCGACTAGGACTTCCGTCTCTCTCGGGAGGAGGTATGTCTCATCTGTCATCTTTTCCATGAATGATTCTTGCGTCGAAAACTGCAGATGAATCTCTCCCGGCTTTAAAACCCCAAACGGATCCGGTACTCCATAAACAAATGTCGACGGTGGAAGTGATATCCGTAACTTGGCTTCTTGAAACATCTGCTTCCCCTCGATAAAGCGCATAAGACATTGGGCAAGATACCGACACTTCAAGGTCTCGAATCCAGATTGTAGTAGATGCTGAATGATTTCCTCAAGAGTTATAGGTTGGCCTCCTTGCCAGGATGCGTCTTCGCCGGGTTTCGTTTTCGCACCGTTTTGATACACCCAGTGATACACTCTTGCGGGGTCTCGGATAATTTCCAGCAGCTCCATGCTCTCCTTTTCGAGGCAGTTACGCACAAAGTCGGAGATCACCGACTTTGGTACGCCTCTGTCTTCCAAGATCGGAATGAAGGATGTGTGTAGCTCGGATGGAGAAGGCGGTAAGCTATAGTTTGATACCTCAAAAGTACGGTGATGAACTGAATTATCGTTTGGCGGGTTAAATTTCCGTTGGCTCTTGTTGATCTTGATCCAGCGCCCCAGATGGTAGGGATCCTTGGTGAATGGCTCTGCACTAATTATCCAGAGTCCTTTAGCACCACCAATACGTCCTTGGAAAGCACTGGGCATGGGGGCATGAGCCCCAGTGGCTTCCTTGATGAGCCTCCATATCTCTATCGCTGCGCCCACTGATATAACGCAGCATCCATCGTCCATCACAGTTCCTTCGGGGGGTGTAGGCCAGTCCAGTTTCCGGTCGTCGAACTGTGTGTCTTCCAAGTCGTCTGTACTTAGCTTGTCGTGTACAAATTCAATCTGTTCCGGGCTGAAGACAAGGGTAGGTATGGTCCGAGAGAGGCCAAGGTCGATGCGAGCAAAGGCTTTGCAAATGGGCTGGTCTCTGTTTAGGGCCAGGGGCAAGAACTTGTTCAGCATCCGATGGATTGTACAAGGTTCCTCAATACCAATGCCTTGGGTTGCAAAAAGAACTATCCTCTTATCATGCATTGCATCGCTCCGACGAGTGCCCTTGCCCTTTTTCAAGGTGTCGATGTGGAACGCCCTCCACTTGCGGCCAAGAAATGAATGCTCTTCCTTCAACCATTCTATCAACTGCTTCCGGATTTGTTGCATTTGCTTTTTGTCGAAGCGTCCAGTTTTGCCTACGTCGAATTTTGGCAGGTCCAGGTAAAGAAAGCGGTCTGAACCAAACATTCGCTGCAATCGACACGACCTATCCGCTAGTACCGGGGACAGCTTAAGACACATAACTGGGCCGTTTTGTTTGGCGTTAATCGTCAAGTTGCCCTTGAATGTGTAGCCATCGAATCGCCGTTTCTCTGCCTGCCAGAGGCGGTCGGGATCTCGTGGTTCGATAGCAGGTTTGGACACGCTCCGGAGGTAGGCATTTATTCTTTTCCAGAATTCATCTCTATTAGAGTAGATGTTTGGCTGGGAAACAAGATTTGTTATCGTTTGCAAAGAAACATCGGATTCTAGTGCAATGCGTAGGCAAATAAACAAAATGTAATAGGGAAGGCCTCCTGATACCTTTGGGTCGTCTTCCACAAAGAGATTTTGTTTGGGAATATCGCGAATATCGTATGACATCTTTGTAGGAACCTCGGGTTCTGGGGCTTTGACGCACGGAGTTGGATCTGATACAAGTTGCGCATTTTCAACTTCAAACGACGCATTGAGAAGTCCGTCTTCATCTACAGAGCCAAAGGTAGATCGCGTCTGACCGCTGCTCCCTTGAGAGAAGGATTCGTTGAGGTCTCTTTGGATATCCTGCTCGAACAATCTGTAGTCCGGAACTCTGTCAGATTGGGTTGCTGCCTGAAGGAGGTCATCATCGTTCAACGAGCCCATTGTAGTGGAGCTTGTCCTGCTCAATCTTGGTTTTGAGATGTATTTCTCATAGACATTGACGTCGCTGTTGTTTGATGTGAAAGAAGTTGCTACGGTATTCGCGGTCTCCTGTGATGAGAAAGTGGTGGTATTGAAGGACGTGTTTGCTGAGGAGGGTGGTTCATCAGCGTCTGCCCGAAAAGAAGGAGCCATTTCGCGAGCTGGTCTCTTGAATTCTGACTGCGCAGTACGCGATGAGGTGAATGCTTTGGAGATCTGCTTTCCTTTCAGGGCTTTTGTCAACTTTTTCGGATTCTCAGAACCATCAGAATCCTCCAAGGGTCGTTTTCTCGTCATCCTGAAAGAGACATGTTTACTTGCCTGGGGCAATTTATGCGCTGATCTGGAAGATGGTGATGGTGAAAGTGACGGTGAGCGTCCCTTATGGCTTTGGTTCATCTCATCGCCGGTGTCCTCGTCTGTGGGTGATCCTGGATCTATGGCAGTCATGTACGACTCCCGTGACTCCCGTTCATCTCGTCGATCGGTACGCAGTGGATGGAGAGGCTGCGATGTACTGGCTGCTTCTATCTGCAAATCAGTATTTTGTAACTCGAGGGGGTTGACCCTTTGCTGGCACCTTCAGAACTCTCTGTTCTGAATCACAGGTTGCCATTGAAGATGCCGATGAAATTGGCAGAGACACAGCGTACAACGCGCATATTGCGCGAAACACTGTTCCCAAATTGAGGCTCTTTGACCAGAGTAACCTGATTGCTCCCAATGCCGCTATTACTCTTTGTCATGCGTATGGAGCCATGGTCTTTTGTAAAACAGGAGCGTACTAACCGCGGAAGGAGGACGCAAGGCTTCTAGGACGGCCGATCTCCTGGGTGCTGTCCTTGGAGGCCGCTGCATCCACATTTGGCACACCAGACAGTAACTTGTAGAAAAGAGCCAACTGCTCTTTGAGTTGCAAGGTCGATGCACGGAGGCTGAAGTCGTCAATCGCCCGTTCGAGACCTGGCTCGTTTTTGTAAACTAGAAACTTCATGCGCCCGTAAATCTTGTTGCGTAGGTCGTTTGGACTCGATTTGCTTGGTGACCAGTCCACTCCGCGAGGCTTGATGCCTAGGCCACATTTTTCATTAACGTAGTTCACCCACTTATCGATCTTTGCTGGTTTTAGGCGCTGCGACGTGTTGGGAGTCGCGGTACGGGTCGGCGCGGCGGTTGGACCCTTGGTCTTACCATGTGCCGACATGCGGGGCAGTGGCCTTCCTGCACGGTGCGCGATGCAGCAATTGAACCAAAAGACAAGGCTAAGAGCGCAGAGCAAACAAAAAACGAGAGTCGGATACCAAGGAGATTAGAGGTGGGTGAGCCCTGGAGCGCAAGGCTGAGGATGTTTGCTCCGGGCGGCTGATGAGACGGATGGTCTGTGCACTACGCGTCTTCGCGCTATCACGAGAGATGCTCACGGACGCAGTCTCAGCAAGCAATTCTTGCGTAGCAAAAACGGGCATCTTCGTGGTTTTTGGCGGCAGCAAGGGGGAGTGCGGGCTTCCTATACAGGCGAGATCAGCGGTAGAGATGCATAAAAACCCACCCGAGACTGCAACAGACAGGCTAGAATGGTGGCACAGAGCAAGAAGCGGGGCGAAGCGGGGTGAAGCAGGACGGAAGAATAAACATGTGTCACATATGACTCCATAACGGTCGTCTAGATTGGTGCCGTGTCGCTTTTCGCACTCTGGCGGATATTCCAACCATGCAATAGGTATTCGTAAATTTCAAAATGAACCGTGAACCGACCCCGCGCCTTGAGCCATCCAGGCCTAAACCTTCATCTCCTCGAGACCGTGCTTCCAGACGGTGACGAATGGGGTGACACCGTCCTCGCGGTAGTTGAGGAGGACAATCATGCCGTCGGGGTTCATGGACTCGCCGGTGAAGAACTCGTAGTCCTTGAAGTTGGTGATGATCTTCTTGGCGTAGCCCTGGGCCTTGGTCTCAAAGTCCTTGATGGTGGCCTCGTCGGCACCCTTGGTCTTGAGAGTCTCCTTGACTGCCTTCATGTAGCCTGTTGGCAGTCAGTACTGGGAGGTTCAGGGTGCTGTGCTAGTTGCAGCCGTACCCTTGAGGTATGTGAGGTAGCCCTTCTTGTCGAAGCCCGTCTCGTTCAGGCGGAACGAGTGGACGACGTCGATCTTGGTCTCGACCGTGTCGTCGGCACCCTCCTCCTGCTCCTCGGCGGAAGCATTGGCACCAGTGTCTGGACATTGTTAGCCGCGACAGTGTGCCAGGGCATGGACTGGACTACGAACCGAAAGTCTCGCCTCCGATAGTGATCTTGGAGCAGTCGGCCTCGTAGACGACGCCGTCAATCTCCTTGAGGTTGTACGAGTCGGAGATGATCTCGTCACCGGTGATGATGTCCTGCGCATATGTCAGTACTGGGCGCCGCGAGCGAGGGGGCGTGTGCCTGTGTCTGGCTGCGCAGTGCGTCTGAGGCCGAGCAGCGAAGGCGGGGTAGTATGCGCGGGCAGCAGCGAGGCCGCGCGGGCGCCATCAGCAACGCACCTTGTAGATGATCATGTTGGCGGAGGGGGCGTGTGCTGGAGGATACGAAGGGCAAGGGGAGTAGGCTGGCACTCGAGGAGTCTTTCTTCACCTGAGACGGAAAGGAAGCGCTGGACTATAAGGGCGGGCGTGAGAGAGAATTTGGTGGGGTCGAAAATTGGGTTTGAGGAGGCGCTAGCCGCAACGGGCGTAGCGCCATCTGTGGCTGGACTGTGGCCGCGCCGCTGGCACTGGCTCACTTCAGGCTCATCAGTCGTGGTCGTCGCAGGCGCACGGGCCCGGTGGCGAAGGCTGCTGCTGCCACTGCTGCTCGTGGGCCGGGCGGCATGGCAGCCGAGATGCGAAATGTCATGATGCGCCCAGCGCCCAGCGCCTGTCCGCCCTGTCCGTGTTCCCTGTCCGTCCCAGGCACGCTCACGCCCACGCCCACGCCCGCACGCTGACGCCCGCGCTCACTCGTCTGCGGGAAGCACCACCCTCACACGACTTTCTCCCCAGCCCTGCTCTGCCTACCGCAGCCTCTCCTTTCCGAGCCCACGCCCCCTGCTGTCAACAAGCTCATATCGCCGCCTCATCCCCCGTGCCTGCCATACATACCGCCAGCCTGCTGCCTGCGCCTGCTCCTGCTCCTGCTCCTGCTCCTGCTCCTGCTCCATCGCTCCTTCTCCCTAATTTCCGGGCTCCGCCGCTTCCGGGCTCGTTCCGTCATCAGCGCCCGTCGCCCGTCGCCCGTCGCCTGGCGCCTTCCAAGCTGACTGTACTCAGCCCTCCTCAACGACACCACACCACTCCACCCATTGCACACACCCCTCTTCCACTCCAAAGCCGACCACGACAACTGCCCTGAAAAAGCGCCTGTCGCCGCATACTCACGCCTATACCTCCTAATCCGCGCGCCGAGAGCCTCAGTGCCGCACCATGGCGACCGCAAACGCGACAACACACGACCTGCCTCCGCTGCCTGAATACACGCTCAGCCCTCTCCAACCACTCACCTCATGGGTCTCCGATGCATTCATACAAGCCGCGCTCCCCGTTGTCGGGTACTGGATCGTCTCGCTCATTTTTCACGCCATTGACGTATACGACCTGTTTCCGCAATACCGACTGCACACGCCCGCCGAGGTCCTGAAGCGCAACCACGTCTCGCGATACGAAGTTCTGCGCGACGTCATATTCCAGCAGATTATCCAGGTCATCGCTTCATTCAGCCTCTCCGTCTTTGACGATGCTCCAGTGACGGGCAAGGCTGACTATGACGTCGCTTGGTATGCGCAGAAGATCCGCCTCGCACAACGCGCAGTCCCCTACATCCTATCTACCGTAGGCGTCAATCCATTCGCCCTGGCCTCAAAAATGGATTCGTCATGGCCAATTCTCTCTTCGGTTCTCGCCGGAGGTAAATACCCCGCGCTGCTGCAGTCAGTCATGGTCGCAGAAGAGCAGACTCTGGTTCCTGCCTTTGCTTCTTGGGAGTTGGCCGTTGCCAGCTTCGTCTACTGGTATGCGATTCCTGCGCTCCAATTCAGCGCTGCTGTTATCATCATGGACGCGTGGGAGTACATGTTGCATCGCACAATGCACTTGAACAAGTGGCTATACGGTACGTTCTGCTCTATTTCGACTCTGTTCTTTACCTAATATACACAGTGACCTTCCACTCACGCCACCACCGCCTCTACGTTCCATATGCGTACGGCGCCTTGTACAACCACCCCATTGAAGGATTTGCGCTCGACACCCTCGGCGCCGGTGTCAGCTACCTCCTTACTGGCCTGACCATGCGCCAATCCATGTGGTTCTTTACCGGCTCAACCATCAAGACTGTTCTCGACCACAGTGGTTACGAATTCCCCTACGACCCTACCCACTGGATCTTCTCCAACAACGCCGCATACCACGACATTCACCACCAAAGCTGGGGCATCAAGACCAACTTCTCACAACCCTTCTTCACCTATCTCGACCGCATCGGAGGAACCGTGTACAAGGGCGATGTGGCTGCCAAGTATGAGCGTGCCCGCATCACGGCACAGCACAAACTCGACCAGGAGAAGGAGAACGAAGCGACCACTGTCTCAGCCACAGGTGCCAGTGTGTCCCAGGAGGATGCTTCGCTACCACAACGAGCTTCTACACCCCGCATGTCTAGGAAGAAGGCGGGCAGCATCTCGTCGACGGCGGGAACCAACTTTAAAGATTTGACCAACAAGGTCAACCAAAACCTGCACGGCAGGCGAGCCAATGTCCTTGGACTGGAAAGCTCACATTGATTGGACAATACTATTTCATACATAAAAAGATTCATTCAGCCACTATAGGTCATGTATAGTTCTGGAGTACCAGCATTCGCTTCGTTTTACCTTTTTTGCATTTCTGGCTGCTTTAGCCCTGCGCTGCTCGTCGCGCCATTTAGATCCTGGCGCACTGTTCGCCATCATTCGCTTATGTACTGTATGATTCTGGATGGGCGTTTACTGTACGGTTGGGATACTTGAATTTGACTATTGACTGTACGAATGTTTCGTTCGTGTCTTGGTCCACGCGTTATGCTTTTGAGATGAGCAATTGCTGCAAGTTATTTACAATTGATAGGCACGTATTACACAGGCTCTGTTTGCGTTAACTTGCCGTTCATCAGCTCGCGGCTTTAGCTACTTTTAGTTTGCGCGTTTGTCAAATTCACATGCACTGTCTTAGCAGGTCGAATCTCGGATCTTTCAATATGAATCACCGTTCCGCCATTCAAGAGCACGTGAGCAGTGAGGTCATGCACAAAACTTCTATGCAGTTTGTATGTTCACAATGCATCCAGAGCATTCGATCGGCATTGTTTCTTTACGGTGGCAGCTGTGTAAACACTGCTGGCTGGTTTTGGTTGTTCTCATATTCTGCCATACAGACATCGGTCGACCACGTGCTCTTCCACCACGCATCGCAACTCAACACCGCACCAAGCCTAGCAGAATGGTTTCCTTTTTGCAAAAAATGGATACACGCCGTCTTGACGGCAGGGACATGAAACGCCTCGTCCGCATCCTACGGAACGTCCCTGGACCCACAGACGAGCAGGCGCATTATAGGAAATTCATCAAGCAAATCATCCAAGACCTTCCGCGTCGCCTACGTTCTCCGACCTTGACCTTTGGATCTCCAAGCAATCTCTGCTACATCCACAAAGGGCTAAACGCACATCTCATCAACGACATCTGGGCATGGCTGAAGCACGAGTTTGAAGGCGCACTCGGCATGTTCCTGTATCCTCTCATCATGCACAATCTTCTAACGGCCGACCAGGAGTGGAAGCTGCGTCAATTGGAACCTGTTCTGCAGATGTGGCAACGTGATTTCAGTCCTGACACGTCTCGGCCGCCCGGCCATGAGCCCATCTACGCTGCCGACAAATGGTTCTACCAGCAAAACCAGTGTCCAGCTTGTATTATGGCACGCATCGGTTCGGAGCAAGACGTTCTTTTTGCTCTGTTTGCGGGCATGGTTTGTCGCTACAACATCAAGCAATCGACTTATGAAGACGCCATCCGCGGCCATGCTGCCTGGAGCAGGACGAGCTCGAAACGGATCCGCTTTGTTAAATACTGGCTCAGAAACACGCATGGCGGCGACAACATCGTCTTTGAAGCGGGTGAACTCGGCATGCTGATGAAGCGTCTGCGGCGTCACTACCACTCGCTCTCCGGCACAGCGGCGCAGAATACGCCTGTAACGGCAGGATACCGTCCCGGCGAAGCCTACTCGACTCCTGTGGTTGTCGACGAAAATCAAGCTTACGAATACTATCTATCTACCCTCGATACACCAGCATCCTACCAAACCAGCGGCCTGGAGTTTCCTGCTCCACCAGACCCCAAGATAGGACCCAATCCTCGTCCAAGTGACGCAGAACCGCTCTCGCCAGCTGAACCTCTGGGCTTTGAAAGGCTGGGTGTGAGTTATAGACGCAGCATGCCTCGGAACATGCAAGATGGGCCTCTTTCCAGTAAGTCGTCCAGCACTACTCTCAGTCTAATCTACTCAGCCTACTCAGATGACATATCGAGTCCCTCGCACAGCACTAGTCCTGCTACACCCACGCATTCTACTCCATTTCGTATACCACGGAAGCCTGTTCCCGTGGGATGTAGTAGTAGTAGCACACACGAAGCCACCAAAGCAAAATCCTTACAACCCAAACCAGGCAAGTCCGCCACATACAATCCGCATCAAGACTCCTCTGTCAACACTCTCCACGGCACCTATCCTCCCGCTCCCACTCGAACCCCACCTCCGCCTCCGCCTCTACCTCCCACTCGAAGTCCCCCGCCTCCGCCTCCTCCTTCTCTTTCCCTCCCGCAAACCCACCCCCCTCGCGCCATCCCCTCATCCATCTACTCGCGCCCCCCCTCCCCCGCTCTAACATGCACCACCAAGACACCCACGATTATGTCTTACACCGGCGGCCCGTCTGCCCGCGCCCACCACCGCGATCCCTTTGACAACCCGATTTACGCATCGCTGGAGACGCGCGAAGAGAGGGTACAGCGGTATAGACGGTTGTTGGCTCCGCGGCCGGAGGGCCGTGATGATGATGGTAGTGGGAGTGGGAGTCGCTTTACAGATTACATCTTGTCTGAAGATGATACCGATCAGCGGGACCAACAATCTCACGCTACTACCAGTCTTCCGCCAAAGGAGCAAACAGAAACTCCTCTACCGCCACCCCAGCGCAAATCCATATACGCCGCATGGCGCAATCCACATTTCAACACCGCAGAGTTCGACGGCGTAGACGCAGCATTGGGACAAGACGAAAGAAACGAATTGGAAGCCGTGATAGCCGGTGAGATAGCGGAGGAAGCGAATGAGGGGAGTGATGTGGGAGACGGGAGAAGCAAAGGGAAAGGCAGGGCGAGGGGGAATAGTGTTGCGAGTACAGTATGGAGGGATTTATACTAGTAGCCTCTCTCCCTCTGAGATATTGCTATGCTCAATTTTTCTTCTACGTAACGACTTTTCTTATTTGTATTGTATTTTTCTATTTTCTGGTGTAAATGTTTGGAAATATATATATATATATATATATATGCTCTAGTAATAAAAGCTGTACTCTACATGTTCCCATCCCACCTGGTAACCTTTTTTTGCCCTGTTCCCTCGCTATCTTATGCAGCTTCAATAGCCCAATCGCTTCATTTCCTGGTATACATGACCTCACTTACTTGTCTACTGACTCACTTGACACACTCACACTCATACTCACGCTTCTACTTCCACTACCGCCTTGTCTGACTCAATCCTCCAACATCAGCATCAGCAACCTACCACTCTTCCACCCTTTCTACACACACACACACACACACGTATACACATAAAACCAAACCAAAAAAAACAGAGTCTGCCTCGTACACATACATGCACACATGAACACACATGCTGTGTGTCAGCTATGTAAATTATATGCTATATAAGCCATGTGTAAGCTCCTTAGTCCACCCAGTCTACCCAGTCTACCCACTTCACCCAGTGAGTGCAAGGCATACTTCCCCACGGGCCTTAACCTTCTTTTCTCTTCTTTTTTTTCTAACAATAGCTCAGTCAGATGATTTTTAATTCAGCAAGATTCGGTTGAGGCTGGGGTAGTAAAAGTGCCAGCTCAAGCCAGCTCAAGGCAGGTTAGATTAGATTAGGTCAGGTTAGATTACTATCCGTGCGCAGCCAACGAGCCAGTACAGTCAACGAGCCACCCCACCAAGATCGGACGACCAAAAAGATGAGGTTATTAAGCCACCCACAAAAGCTATTATCGTGAGATCTTTTGGTGTATTACTATATAAACGCTACTAAAGCGTTTGCACTACTTATATCTCGCTAGCGTCTTAATTTAGCGGGTGTGCAGGCCAAACTTAGGTAGGGAGGGCGCCCAAGGCGGACCCTCAACCACCTAGCTTAATAGAGCAACAACACGACGACGCTTTGCCGTTTTTTTTTGCTGGCTTAACTAAGGCTTCTCGCTTACGCTTGTTTGCTGTATCGTGAGTTTTTTTAGTGTTGCAGCTTGTTGTTGTTGTTTAAGCGCCTGGGCAGCTGCCTTTTCTTTAGCGCGCTGTTTCTGCTTGCGCTCACGCTCTATTTTGGCTTCTTATCAAGCAACCTTTGCAGCTTCTGAAATTTTGAGATTGTAGAGCTTTACCGCCGCCTTGAGTTCCTTATCCTTAGCTTTTTGGAGTTGTTCCTACTTCTTTTGCTCTTCTCGTACGCTCTCGCGATACCTGGCTTCGCGGAGCTTTCTTGGGGACCAGAATACTGCCCCGCCGTGATACTCCTCGCGCTGTTGAAGGTCCAGTGTCTTGCTCTTCTTCTTGGCGTTTGTTTTGGTGTTGAGCGAGCGATTAAGATACTCGTTCTCGTGGTGGAGAAGCTTGTTTTGAACCTGTAGAGACCAAAATAAAGCCTTAAGCCGCTAGGCTTCAACTTTTGACTTATCCCCAACCACAGCGTCGAAAACTTTTCGCAGCTCACGCCAGCTATCACCGTCGCCATGCTACCCAATTTCTAGAGTCTCATCTTGTTGTTGTGGGTGTTTGTTGAAGCGTTTTAGGATGACCTGAGCATCCATCGGCCACACCCCAGTAACTTGAAAACTCTTCTTGATGAGATCCGGAGTCATTGTAGAGCTCCAAGCGGGCCAAAAGAGGCTGAAGAACTCTCTTTTTGTTGCCTTTGCCGTGCCGTGGGACTCGTGGAGGTGGCGATCGAGTTGTTTCGAGTATGCTTTCGACATCGGAGCGAACACAACCACATCAAGTGGCTGCAAGCTGTGGGTTGCGTGGGGTGGAAAGATAGCCAACAGGATGCGGTTGCCATCGCAGAAATCTATAAAATCAGTTGATACATGGCTGCCGTGGCCATCAAGGATCAGAAGCCGGTAATCCCGTCTTGCTTTTGGCTTCGTGAAGCGTTCAAATACCTATTTAAGCCACGCCATGCCGATATCATTGTTGCTCTAT